AAACTTTGATACACCACTTGGTTTTGTTCATATCTCGGTCAGTTCTACCAATTATATATTGTAACCCAGTTCAAATATTCTTTTTCAGTTATCAAAAATTTTATTTTGTTACTTCATTTTAGTTATGTAACTATTAAATTGTTTTAAATTAAAGATTATAAGATATACAACCTATGTAACACCTATGAGTGGTGAAAAAGAATATTCTATAATATTAAAACCACATGGGTCTCTACTTTTGCCATGGCCTCTTTTTTGGTTAAAACGTATCCCTCAAGTTTTTCTAAACTTTTAAAGAAAAACATTCTTTCTTTCTCACTGCTTTTGCTATTTCTATCCAATAATTATTGGCCGTTTGGTTATCCCTATGACCACACATTGACGGAACATAAAGATGTCTGTACAGGCGTGCCTGTTTAGACAAAATATCTTCAAAGCGTTTCATATTTAACTTAAATGCTATGCGGCACTGCACGAACTGTTCAATTCAATCTCAAAAAAATGAGTGCACTCCGCCAGCCACAATCCTGTATCATGCACCAAAATCATACCTCCACAAACACTGCGATGATGTCACAGTCGCCGTGCGCACTCAAGCGAACTAGTGAACGCATCGAATATAAACCACCCGTAAGGCTCCAATCACCACAAACAGTTTTTTTTTTTTTTTGGTATGATGTGGATTTTAAAAATGTTTTTCTATTAGCAGTAAACGTTTTGTGCTCTGATATGCACACTGGGTGCCTTGCTATCTAAAAGCCTGCTGTTCTCCGCTTTTGTGATGCAGTGCTCTGTGCACATGCAGTAGAGCTGCACGATTCTGGCTAAATGAGAATCGCTATTTTTTTTGGCCTAAAATAAAGATCACGTTTTTGTCATGATTCTGTATATGTAAAATAAAGGTTAATATGAGTGGGCTATTATTATTGTTATGCTCAAACAGCAATAGGCTTTGTGTAGCTGTACTGCTAAATTTTGTATAGACTTGGAATGGTGGATTTGAACAGACTTTAGATTTGTCCTGGTCATTAATGCTGAAGATAATTCTAATGTTGAATTATTGTATATATGCTTATAATCTTTCATTTTTTGCTTAAAATCTGTCACTGATGTGATTTTCGTAAAGATAGACGACTGGGTGGGTATTTTTGCATTTCGGCGGGTTTTGGATACTTTTTGGGCTGGAATCAATCAGCTACATCTGGCAACAAAGTGTGCGCTTTCGGTTTCATTTTCACTGCTAAGAGCGATTGACTTCCGGCGCGGCTCCCAAACGATCACTCTGTGCCACAAACTGAATGTTATTTACAACTTTATTACCTGTTGTTCACAGCCTATGCAGGTTCTGTTCACTAAAGTAAACTTCATTCGGAGGCGCGCGTGGTAACAGCTGACGGTCAGCTCACATCACGTGTGATTTTGCGGTCGCAAAAACTTTACACGAAGACAGAAATTTACATTTTTGAGGTGAATTGTATCTTATAAATCAGTGGTTCTCAAACTTTTTTCATCAAGTACCACCTTAGAAAAATATTGTCTTTCCAAGTACCACCAAAATGAGCAGTATTGAAATACAGTAGCGTAGTAGGCCCAGTAAAGCAGCTACAACTCTGCACAGTTAAAAAAAAAATGTGGCAGATTACCTCAGAAATATAGGCTATATGTCATATATGGCATAATATATACATAATTTTTAATACATTTTGAAATATATGTTGCATGTACATGACATATTTCATTCTTTCGCGTACCACTAGTGGGAAGCCCGCATACCACTAGTGGTACAAGTACCACAGTTTGAGAACCACTGTTATAAATAAAGCATGTGACTCTTTCAACACCATTTGGAGATGTCCACGTTGCTGAACAATGTATGTAAAACAATTTGAAGACTTGTGCGGCCACCTTTGCTTCTCTCCTGAACTTGAAAATATGATTGACAGAATCCTAGAAATGCTGGATGAAGATCGTCTAGGGCGTCGAATCGAAATCGCGGTCTTTTTACGATTAATTGTGCAGCTCTAGCCTAAAAGGGCAGTGTGATGCACCTCACGTTTACAGAACCAAGTAGAGCCAATAGTCTGATCGGCCCCTAAAAATTGCATTTTTCTAAAATCATGGAGTGTTGATAAGTGTCTGGTGCATATGGAGAGAAGAGTGTGTCTTACAGGCATCTGACAGTATCAAATGCGGTTGCAATAATTACTGAAGCTTTTATCACAATATACTGCACTCATTACAACTTTGACATAAGACTTTAGGAGTTATAATAAAGATTTTGTGTGTCATTAAATGTTTAGAGTAAACAACTTTTCAAAGTTTCAAACTAATTAAATTGCAAACGCATTTTACAGTACAGTAGGTAACACTTTACTGTAAGGTCTCATCTGTAAACAGTAGTTAATGCATTAACTGTTTTTTTTTTCTGTTCATTCATCATTTGGTGTCTGGTTGATTGATGGACGTGTGTATATTTCAGGGTCTCACCTTTTTCCTCCAGATCTGTTTTTCCAATGCAGGCTTTTCCTAAAGCTAGTCATCATTCACTGACACTTAATTGCATGTCATGTAACCATCATTGTGTCAGTTACAATTACCACATTGACACACAGCAGGACTTCACATATGTGCACTCGTACTCCATTCAGTTCATACTGTAGTAATCCTCTGCAAACCTGTTATGAAAGGCGCCATTCCAGCAGGCTTCTTGGTAGCCTTGTCAAAAATAACATGTAATATACATACCTTGAAATGGTCTCGGTTTACAGTTCTTCACGGACTGTTTAAGCTACTTTACGAGAGTAACACCCTCAGTTGTACTCACATTTGAACACTATAACTCTTTGAGATGTGTGGTGAAAATTCAACCCCTCGTTGCAAAATCTCGCAGCCTATAAGCAAGCATGACATCATCCATCATTTCCCCTGTATTTTTCAGACCCCACTCTCATTAAATGGAGGCAAAAGGGCCTCAATGTACATTTACAACTGAGGGAAAACTCCAACAATGATCAAAAGGCACTTTAAAGAGCTTTAACACTCAAAACGTGCTGAATTACACTGAAATTACTGATGTTTTGGTGATTGCTGTGATTCCAGACAACACATCTGCTTTCTGTCAATGGAAAATGCCCCTAACCTTTTGAGACCCGTGTGAAGCATCATTTTTTACATCATTGTTGTGTTTAGGAGACATCCGCTGCCTCTGCTACTGAAATTATCCATGAATCTGGGTATGCTCACTTAGACAGGGGAGGGGAAAAAACGGGAGTCACAGGATTTTTCTTTTGTGTTGGGTATTTTGCAAACAGAGTTTGGGTGAGTGTGTTTGGGGCTGGGGTGGGATGATTTGTGTGTCTGTGAACGTGGTGTATCTAAGAACGTGATGATTGGCTTAAAGTACATTTCCAATGTTTGTACACAAGCACATGCACTGTCAGTCACACACACCAACAACCAGGAGTCAGAACGATGGCAAATCCAACAAGTTCACTTTTCCAAACTGGAAATATAAGCACTACCTTTGCCTGTTTTTTAATATTTCTAATGATATGTAGAATTTGATGGTTTTCTTTCACATTGTCCCACATCAACAATAAAGTAATGTAGATTAGTGTACAATGTTTTATAACATTTATAATTATGGAACTCAGTTAAAACTTAGTAACTGTTAATTAGTTAACTCGTAACTATAACTAATTATTCTTTTAAAGGAACGTGCCCAACATTGTATCTTTATTGTAAACTATACCGTAATTTTCACAGTGCAACTTTAAAATACAGTACAGCATAACTGACCTACAGTAAAATACAGTTCATATTATAGTTAAATACTGTGTAGAGATGGCAACAAAAATTTCAGCAAAGCACATTTATTATAGAATGCATGATTTCTTAATATTAAATCTTATGTATTTTTATCAGTCAACAACATCAATAGTAATTGTTGTCTTATTTAAATTTTTTGAATATTTTTTAGCTTTTGTTTTCATTTTAATAACTAGGCCTGTCACGATATCTATTGTTTGTTGTATGAGATATTGCATATATATTAGGATAAATGATACTATTGTCATTTTATGCCACTCATAATACCAGAATGACGTTATAATATCAGCACAATGCTTGTACACTCTTCCAAAGAACACATAATCTTTCATTCTTAACAATATTTCATTTAATTATAGTCATTTTAACAATTGAATAATGAGGCATTGGAAACAGAATGTGAAAAGGCACATTCTAAATCAATAATAATACATGTTAACAAAAAAGTGCAAGGTAAAACGTAACAGAGGCTGCCATATCTGCTACAAGATCTATTTTCAGTTGTCAGAGACCCCTATGAAAATATACTTAAGTAGTTTATAGTGTAAATACTGTAATTTTTTTTTTACCATACTGACACTGACACCTTTAATAGAGATGTAGATGTTGCAAAATCAGCTAAAATGTTTATAGAATTGTTTTTTTTTATGTATGGGCGATATACAGTATATTGCATCACCAAAAATGATTGAGGTCGTGTTCATGTGTTGTGCGATAAGTAAATAATAAATCAAATAATACAATAGTAATGATGATAATCATAATAAATTACCGGGTTTCATGGGGAAAAGTATCATTTATAATCCATAAAATTGCATATGAGAGTCCTGTGATAATACTCTCTCACACGGCACATGATACCTGAGCGTGGTACCAGAAAGGTGAATATAGAAAACAGGTCTCTCGTGGATTACAGCTGGAATGTTGGACGTGACCCTTCTCTATAAACATGTAGCACTTTCCCTCTTGGCAGGGCAGAAGCACTGTAAATCACTGTGACCTGGGTCAATGTAGCGCTCCGCATATCCAAGGGAAGAAATTTGATGGTCAGGTGTTGATTTTATTCACTGTGGGAGAGCTGAAATACTTTGTGTGATGCGGTTACTGTAAAAACTGAAAATATGAACTCAGCCTTGAAGTTGGTTTCAACAGATTTCACCTTTTGTTTTCAGATGTCCATCAAGAAGAGGCATGGAGGTGCAGGTGAGGACACATTTACCTTTATGTATCAAACTGTGCTGGTGGTAAGAAGGGTTTGAATGATGTTTAATGTATCATACTGAGTAAATACGGAATGATCTTGTTTGATCTATGGTGGTGTGAAAGGCAGTCTAAAAGGGGTGGTTCTTTTTCTCAAAAAGTAAGCCTTTTTGCGGTTATTCACCTCATTTTGTGTTTAATTATGACCTGTAAATACTGCATTGTATGGACATTGTAAGCACTGTTTTTGCTAGTTTTTCATGTCAGCTGGTATAATGTGCAGGCTTTTTGATGCACCAAGCATTGTATTTCCTACAATTTTGTCATATTCCTTACCGTGCTATTTTATTACTGAAGTTTTTATTTAGAGATATCTATTTTACTCTTATGCTTTATATTACCTTTTTATATTACATATGTTATGTATTACATAAAGAAATATTAAATATTCTGTAAAACACTTTGGTACAAATTCATCAAAGCATATGTCATTAAAAAAACAAAAACTAATATCTCAGGAAACTACTAAAACTAAATTATAAATTGTTACCTATTGTCATTTATTAACCAATTAACAAACTTTTAACCGATCTCGGGTCATTTGGTCATTTGAATTTGGTCAGTTGAATAAAAAAATAAAGCGTAAAATTATTAATGTACTCATTGTTTTACAATTTTTCTTGTCTCCTTTATAGAAAAGTATACTTAATAATTAAAAGATAACAATAATAGCCTAATATGCATTAAAATTAACTTTAATATAGGCTGCTCTTGGTGCTTTCAACTTTTTATTGGTCATTTGTGTTTCAAGAATAAGGTACAAAGTTAAGAATAAGAGTTACTAATGTTTTACTCTGTTTAACATTACAATAGTCAACAGTGGAAGATCCCTTTATTGATCACATCTCAGAAAGACAGAGAATTTTCTTGTGCAGCTCAAGGCTAGACTCTTGAAAATAGTTGTTTGCAGTTGTTCAAATTTATTTGCTAAAATCAAAAACACAGATCGTCACAGTGAAAAGCCCGAGTGCTGCTTGCTGAGGATTGACAGTTTGATAGCCGGCAGAGGATTCCGATTGGTCTTAAAGCTCTCTTTAAATGTTATTTTTAAAACTTATGATGGCAGAGCTGTCAAAAAGTGGGCCAAGGGAGCTCATGTACAGTACAAAAAAAAAACCTGACCAATTCTGGATTATTGGCAGTCAGTGGTAGGTTGTTCGGACCACCCGCTCTGGGCCTGAAAGCATCTGCATGTTTGCATCCTCCCAGGATGGCATCCAGCATTTCTTAGCATGGATCAATTGTGGGTGTTTAGACTTCTTGAAGTGACGAATTGAATGGAAGTGAACACTTGTTTTTCTTCTCTTGTTGCCGTTTGGTTAAAAATTATAACCAATAGCTCCACTATGTTGTAACAACATTTTCTTTTCTAAATTTGCTGTAAAAATTGCGACAGGTAGTGCCAGTATAGCTCACAAAATCAACAAAATATGCACTTTGCACCTAAAGTAAAAAAGTGAAAGAAAAGAGCAGAAGAAAAGGAAGAAATCATAATAAATAAAAAGAAAGAAATATAAAATGAATGAAAGAAGAAAAGAGGCAGGGATGGAGAGAAATAGAGAAGAAAATAATAAAAGAAAAGAAAGAAAAAGAAGGAAGCTGGAAGTAATGAAAGAAATACAGATGGGAGAGGAAGGAAGAAAAAAATCAGTTAAGGAAAACCAGAATGATGAAAAGAGAGAAATATCCAAATTGGGATATTTCAGGATTCAAATAATACAGGCAATTAATAATACAGAAATTAATTATACAATAAATCAATAATGCAGAAATGATCTGTACAGGAAATTAATAATAAAAAATAAGGAAATAAATGCAGAGTTAAAAAGGTAAGATTTAGGTAATGAAACACTATCAGAAGGAAATAAATATGGAACATATTATAAAATAAATACAGAAGGGAAGTAAAGAAATATAAATGGAGGTTTAAAAGAAAAAGAAATACAGAATTATTGAAGGAATACAGGAGGAGAGAAAGTTCTATCTGTAAAAAGTTCAAAGAAGGAAGATTATGAGGACTCAAAAAAGAAAAGGCTGATAAGAATGAAAGGACTGAACGCACATAAAGAAGGCTGCTGTTTGTTTGCACAATGTGATAAAAATATTTTATCTTCTGAGTTTGTGTTAAAAATTGTGACAGCTAGTGCCAGTATAGCTCACAGAATGCAACTATTTGACATCATCGACAAAAAATGCACTTTGCAACTAAAATAATCACACCCACCATAATCAGAAATGAATGTGAATTTTTAAAAATAACATAAATCTTTAATGGGATTTCCAGCAAATATTTCAACAGGCACACATACAGTATATTAGGCCATACAAGTCTTAAAATCTGTTTTTTTTTTTTTTTAAGTAGACTGGCTTGTGGATTTGTGTGACATTGTGTACCTGGGTTTTAGTGAGAGGCTCTCTGAATTGCTCCTAATATAATTAAATGACTAAAGCATGCAATTGTGAGACAGCTCAAATATTTTAGCCCTCTGTTTCTCAAATTGCGCCCTGAGCTTGTCCTGAGATTTGCCCGGAGCGTAACTAATTCAAGGATGAAACAAGATTCTTGTTGTGTTATCCTGGACTGGAATAGGCTTTTCTTTTAATCTTGACTGATGTCGCAGCTTGAAAATCTCACATTTCTAATATATTCTCAGGCAGAGTTTTTTTCTTTGTGAACTTTCTGGATTTGTTGTGGAATTAAATAAGCTCTCTGCTAGAAAAAGTCAATGAAATGTGTATAGATTTTTACGGGATTTTAGAAAAAGCTTGGATGGTTCAGAATGAAAAAGAAAAATAAGATCGAGAATGAGAAGCAGAGCAGATTCATTCATTAATTCATTCATTAATTTATTCATTCATTTTCCTTCAGCTTAGTCCCTTTATTCATCAGGGTTCACCACAGCGGAATGAACCGCCAACTTATCCAGCATATGTTTTACACAGTGAATGCCCTTCCAGACACAACCCAGTACTGGGAAATGTCCATTCACACACATGCACTATGACCAATTTAGTTTATTCAACATTCAAACTCCACACAGAAATGCCAACTGACCCAGCTAGGGCTCGGACCAGCGACCTTCTTGCTGTGAGGCGACAGTGCTAGCCACTAAAAGAAGGATTTATTGAAAAATATAAAAGCAATACACTTAGAAGGAAAGGAAAAATGAAAAAAATACATAATGGAAGAAAGGAAAACAAATTCAGGTACAGGGGACAGTATGGAAAAGATGGCAGGAAAGAAAAAATACAAATAAAGACATTCAGAACGACGAAAAGAGAGAAAAATGGAAATAAGGCAATACAGAGAGACAAAGGAAAGAAACACTGAAGGGAGGAAATAAATATGGAACAGAGGAAATGTATAAATACAGAAGGCAGGTAAAGAAATATGAATGGAGGTTTGAAAGAAAAAGAAATACGGAATTACATAAGGAGGGAAGAAAGCACTGTATGAAAGATTGGGCTAAACAAAAAAGCGGGGAAAGAAAAAAAGAAAAACCAAGAGAATATCAAAAGAAAAAAGGGGAAGAATAGAGAAAACTCTGACGTCCTGATTCAGTGTTATTGATGCTTTATCTCAGAAATCTTTACATTTGATTGTGAATGGTGAAGTTAACCCTATATTGGAACACTTTCAGCAGGTCTGGAAATAAGTACATAAGTTATTTAATCTGTCCTATTATAAACAAGGCTATTCTTCATTATGGAATAACCCTGCTATTGATAGGAAAGAAAACAGTGTATTGCAAGGATTGGTGTAAAAAAGACCTGAATTTTTTTTTATTATTTATATGGACAGAGGGCACTGTATTCATTTCAGGAGTTGAAACACAAGTTTAAATGATTAAATAAAGGGGATTTCTGGAAATATATTGCAAAGTAGTATAAGATATGTGGGATATAAAGTAGGCCCACACAGAATCTGCGTGCGCAGAATTCTGCAGATTTTTAGCCCATCATTGATTGTTTATTTACTGGAGTAAATGTGTGTAAATTTATATTTATTCAGTTTTTAAATTAATTTCTGTAGTATTATTGACTAATATGAAAACATTTATGTGATTTATTCACAATACAGTTTGTAAAGTAATCTTTGCTGTCTTTTATATATTTTATGAGAGACTTGCTTTGTTTATCAAATGAAGTGGATCTAATTGGATTTGCAAACATGAAATACAATAAGTTAAAAATGTATTACTTTTTACTTCATATATTGAGGTTTTAGCTATGATACTCCTGAAAGCATTCCTCATAAATCTGCAGATGTTTAACAAAACTCTGCGCAGAAATATGTTACAACCTCTTTGATGTTAGTCTAGGGTAAAAATAATAACATTTAAAAGGTGTGGTACTTTTACAAGATGATGGGTGAAAACAAAAGACACAAACAACAAAACTGCCAACAAAAGTGATTTAATGTACAAAAAGTGAAATCAGAATAATGCCCAAATATATATACAATAAGAAAAATATTTACAATAATAATAAAGTAAACAATGGATTGACTACGTGTATGTAGGATTGAAGTCGTACGACATCTTCCCTGTCCACCTTACTCTAAGACAAAGTCGACTCTCAATATTATCTCTTTTGTTTTGCCAGGTAAGAGTTGTACCAAAAAGTGATATACAAACAATCAAAAATAAAATGTACAGAAATCACAAAGTAGTTTAAAAATGGGCAGAAATAATACTAAATAATTTTATCCAAACGAAAGTTAAGCAAAATTAACAAATAACAAAATCATGTCGGCAAAAACACACAAAAACATGATCAAAGGAAAAGCGCGCTCATCTGCTCTCCCTGGCGTCCTTATATGTGACAGCGCCACGTCACCCAATGATAAGTGACTGGTCTCCTGACCAATCGGCTTTCGCGAAGTCGGACCTAGAGGATACGACAGATAGAGATGGGGAGAGAGAGAGAGAGAACGGGATGCA